AAGGCGGAATTGGAAGTCAGAAAAAATGAAGGATGATCATGCTGTTGGGGGAGGTTCCAATCGAGCTTTCAGACAGATCAGAGCGACAAAAAAGAAGACAACGCACACCTTTTGGCCAGACGTATGGGAGATGATAGAGGCGGATGCAAAATATGATCCCTTCGGACGTGGCGATCCAGAAAGGGTGGAAGTACCGAGTCTAAAGGGCTGGTGGAAGGGATGAGAGACGGCATGCTGACTGCAAAAGCGGGCATCAAGGTAGGTAAATGAATGTTATCCAATAAGGCTTAGCTAAAATAGCAAATGATATTCAGGATGATTAGAAAGAGGCTTTTTATCACACGAGAAGACCTCAAATAGCTTCTATTCAGACTTGAAGAACGAGTAGTACACCAGACTCGATTCGATCGGTATTTGAAGTCGCATACCTCAAAGTATGTAGCTGGGTTTGGGAAAGCAAAATTGAGTTAAGGACAAAGACAATTTTGGTCCATTGCATGAAGTAATAGGGAGCATGACTCTATAAAAGGCAAATTAGAGGATATAGTAGGTTCTGTCTGAGTCGAGAGAAGGCCCACCGGTAGGTTAGATGGTGCTGACTGGTAGATTCAGATGAGAAACCAAGGCAAAAAGGACAGACATGAAAATCGAACCAAAAATGCTAGGCTGGATGTGTCGGTAAGCGCTAAATCTCAGACAGCAACAACCTACTGATTTTTGGTGACTCAACTACTCGGCATGCTTGAAGCCTGTCTAAGCTTTTCTAGAACTCACTTTTGCAGATGATATTAAAGCCGCTGAAAGAAGGTTTTCGGGGTTCTCATGCTGAGGAAAGCTGGAAAGAGTGCTTTGGTGCTCGTCATTAATTCCCATGGAGGCAGGATGTGGAGTGAATGACTGCCAGAATGGCTGGTACGAAAGGCTTGTTGAAGCGGAGGCCGAAGGGATAGAATGATCAGCTCGTGGACTCAATGACTGCTCGCACAATCCAGAAGGAGACGAAGGATGCAGATAAGGAAGATTTGCAGAGTCTGAAGATATAACGGTTGATTCCAGTGACAAAACTATGAGCCGGTTTGCAAGAACGGC